GTCAAAAGATTTGGGCAACATAGCTATATTAAAAGCCATCCTAAGACAAGTGAGCGGGCCTCAATGTCCCAACAACTTGAAGGTACAAAACCTTCGACCATGATCTCACAATTGTGTGTGGGTCTGGTATGTGGAAATTTCTAGAAAAGTGACTTATTGTTTGTGAATAATTTATGTTGTTTTTTAGTACAGGCTTTGTATTTTTTCAGTTTATTGAGTCCTAATTGTTGTCTAATGTTATTTATTTGTGTTTCTAGTCCTCTTTGACAAAAAGATTTATTATTTGTCTGATTGAAATTTAAGAGTTTGGTGAATAGTTGTAGTGACTGCACCAAATACACAAATGTATGTCTGAAAATGTTTATTCTGGTTGAATGTGTTTTGGTAGCATGCATTCAAGTAGTGTATAGTTTTTTCCCACTCATTTTGATATGTGTATTTGTGATCTTGTATGGAATCTGAACCTGTATGTTTAGTTGTTATTTCCTGAAAAACATTTGTTTTAATTAGTTCTGTGTCTATAGTGTCATTGGTTGTAATAATTGTGTTAGTGTTTTTGCTAGTGTTATGTTTTTATGAGTGACTGCTGTTAAGATACTGTCAGTGAATATCTAATCTATGTGATCAAGTGTTTGTGTTTATTGATAGATCTGTTATGCAACCTGTTGTTTGATATGTTAAAACATTGTTTGTGGAATAAGGTTGTTGTGTATAATTGTTCTTTCCTGATCAACAAATCCTTTGCTTTGTAACAGAGATGTGGGTATTTGTGTGAATTTATCCTGTAGTGTTTGTAAGTTGTCATGTCTGTTTTGGGTTTTGTGTTGGTGTACAGGTATGGTTGATGAATTCATTTACTTCTTGAGTTCACTTCATCCATTGGCATGGTTTTTGTCCTTGATAGTCAGTGGCTGAATTATCACTGAAGTATATTGGCTAGGTTGGTGTGAGCAAGGTAGTGAATGTGTTTATGATGCAGTCGCCATATTTTGGCCAACGCTGTGTTCACCACTAGTGGCCAAGGGAAACTAACAGGTTTTTCAAATGTGAGCTTCTGCTTAACCCACAAACACAAACTTTTTAATCTGGGCAATGTCCAAGACAGTGTGCTGTGAACACAACCATTTTTGTTTTCTACACAGAAGTGGGTATGCTTATGTACCTAAAGCCAGGTGTTTATTGATCAGTTATTCAACGTGGAGAACAGTGCTGTTTAGCAGCCATCCACTCTGGATAAATATTGCTCATGAGTCATTCTTGGCTTCATTTCTTTATTTATTTATTTATTTTAACTACATTAGAAAAAGTCTAAGAATAAAGATTTCCACTCCCCACAAAGAATATGAGCTAAAAAGATAATGTGGGGTTAAAAAAGAATACATTAAAACAATCCCAAAAATGAAAATAAATAATTTAAGAGTTACAAAGAATGCATTTACAAGTATTTTTAAAATATGTAAAATTTTCATAAAGTATATTTGTGAAAATCTACTTGTAAAAAAAAGTCCCAAAATTACATAACAATTTGTTAATTATTTGCATCCAAGCTTTGTCCTCTCCCCATGGAAAATTTCCTGTGGATGCCTACTGGAAGCTTGTGCTCCCTCTTGCATTGTCTGTTTCATTGGAACTATTAAGCATTCTCATCTCAACAAGGTGATGATTTGTGAGAGAGTTATTATTAATTAACAGTAATTCTTTCAGTGTTGTTTGTCTGTTTTAATACCAACAACAACAGCTAGCATATAACTGAAGTAAAAACTTACTGTGAACAAATAATTCAAACATTTGATGTTTAATGTACTGATTAAAACAGGTAACAATTGTGCATTATCAAGCTATGTTAAAGCTGATAGGCATTTTTAAGCTATCTTTTTGCACTATTTACCTGAAGATAACAACATAGTTATTATTTATTTTAATGATAATTTTGTCTATTAAGTTTTATAAATTTATTTCAGTTTGTATGTTTGGACTTAGTGATTCTGATAGCAATATTTGTAATTATAATAAATAGAATGTGAATCTTGGTTAATGACAAATGCAAAATCTTTCTGATTAACAGTTTTTAAGTCACAACACATCACATTTTGATAGATTTATTATTTAAAAAGGAATGATCAACTGAAATTATAAAAAATATCTAAAAATATACATTATTGTTTCTAATAATTACTTATGATATTTATAAAGCATTACTATTAATACGAACCAGTTTCCATCTGCCAAACGTACACCGAACCGTCTGCGCAACCAACGACCATGAAATCGTCAAGAGGCCTCCATTTGATCACCTGCACTGGAAAAAGATGTCGACTGGCCAACATAAAACATTTTTTCTCTCTCAGTCCCAACAGACAGACAGAATGATCACTTGCAATGGAACAGACGCTTTGGAGAACGCGAGGCTACAAAAAAATATTTATTTTAATTAACACTAAGAATTTGGTGATTTATTTTGTCAAATGCAATAAAAAACTTACATTACAGTTATTTGGAGGAATCAGTAATTGTGTGATCTCTCCCGCATGGACGCAAAATCTGTGAATTAAAGTTCCAGCATAAATGTCCCACAAGCATACCGAAAAGTCTACTCCTCCAGATAACAGATGTGCGATGTCGTATCGATTGTGTAAATGGTGAGGATACAGGAGGCACGTGACGCGACCAGTGTGACCGTGTAGTAGTTGATGAGGTGGCCAGTCTAAAAAACATCTAACATTATATTAATAATACAAGATTCTTAACCATCTAACAAAAAACACACAAATAATGCTGTTCTAGGACATACACAATCAAAGGTTAAAATCCTGATATATACTTCTAACAGACTGTTAATCTGAATATGAATTAATTACAATAAAAGAATAAATAAAGCAACTGTATTTCTACAACATATGACACGTCATTTATTCAATTCTGGTTTTTCTTTTACTTTTAAATATTTTTTGAAACAGTAAAATGACAGATTATTTTCATCTATATATTAAACCTGTCTATGATGACCACCCACGGTTCCTTCAAAATGTGGTCTTTTAGACAGGTGGTTGTCCAATACAGGTGGTGTGCTGTAATACCACATTTCCATGTGTATTTTGTGCACAGATATGGCTAAAAGTTGAGGTGAGCAAAAATAAGTGAATTTTTTCAACGATAGAGCTACACTGGTACTGTATTTTATTATTGGATAACTCAATTAACAGAAGTCGCCGTGATTTTATACGACAGGAAGACAGATTTAATACCAGTATTTTAAAGATGAATACAGTATTTGCATTGTCTTGATTATAATGCACACTTTCTTTTTTCTGACTTAATTAATTCAACTTTCTTCTCTTTGTTCACTCCTCAGTTACATGTATTATGTCATCGATATAGAAGTGCATGGTACCTCTCCACCACTTTGGTTTTTGTTTTCATTAGTTTAATCTTATTTTAACTTTAAAAATACTGTATTTTTTTAATATTTAATATTTTCATAAGTATAATAGAAAATTATTAATTAATAATAAAAATATNAAATAAGTTAGAACCGTGTTGGAGTAAATTATTAATTTAGATAAGAGATGGTGCCTAACGTCTACCTCTAATACCAAATTACTTAATATCTAGTTATTAATATTAGCGAGATAATAGCCCGATTAATTACGGCCATGTTTTGGTTTAATATCGTTGTTATATAAATCTAAATCCCAAAATATAATAACGAGCCGTATTAAAACTTTGTTCCAACCAAAGATTCCGATCGTCGATTTATATTTATGATTATAATCCATCCGAATAATATACTTTAATAATAAACTTCGCATCCGACTAAATACTTTTTAGTCGGATACGAATTTGTTTATACAAATTAAACAACTTAGCGGCATAGAACCAAATTGTTGGTTTAATTAATGCAGAAAGGTTTTCACAATAAACTATATAGAAATTATAACACCGTAATTGATAAATTACCTAACTTCACTGCCTGTAACTGGTGTTCTTCTCCAATACGTTTGCAAAGTCCTTCGTATTGGAGAACACCGGTTACAGGCAGTGAAGTTAGGTAATTTAGGTTTTCACAATGTTTATTTTGTTGTATTTTACCACATTTTGACCGGCATGTTGGTTAAACTGCGATTAAAAAGTAAAATTAGCCAGATTAAATGTTAATATTAAATGATTAAAGTCAGATTAAATGTCAAATATTAGTTGTAGATTTAATGTTAAAAGAACATTCTTCCGAGTACAATACACTATAACTTGACTGACTTGAAAATGCTCTTCCTGATTTTATTTACAAGACAATAAAACAACGACTTATTGACATTAGTAACAGCATTAGTTAGTGTGGGCTACACTGACCATCTACCCCAACCTTAAAAATAACACCTCTTAATTTTCACACAAAGAGGATGTCAATGGTGAAAGTTGAGATAATTTACGGAGAATTTCTGAAATTTTATATTTTTTGCTTTTGAATCAAATTACAATAAAATAAAAAAAAAGCACTTTTGGCATTGCGCGAGTATTTTACGTCGTTAGAAAGACGACAAAATGAATAAATTAAACGTATAATAGTAGTTTTTGACGTAATGCTGACAGTTTCAGAATAAAAACTCGTTCTTTAAATGCGTCTTCTAGAGAGGGATGCATAATCTCACTTAAACCGGCATGCCAGACAATCTGCGAAAATACAATATGTACTGTACGTTGTGTTATACAAGGTACACATTGTATTTTAAAAGCTTATTTTATCTATTTTAATATGATTTAAGTGATAGATACAACTTGTGATTTACGAGAACCTTCGATTAATGCGATATTCTTAGGAATGTTTTATTGTGTGAACTCGAGAAACACGCGCGTTCAAAAATCATAATTTTTCTGTAATAATCCCAATCGAAAACGCTGATTAATGTAAAGAAAATATTCACCTTTAGCATTTTCACGATTAATTGTTCAAATATATGTCTACGTTGTTAATTGTACAATAAATTCTAATTAAATACACTTACCGAAGCAATTTGCGTCGCCTCTCTTGTTCTGGAACAAAAGTGGCACTGTTCATGGACATCAAAGTATTACCCAACGCTATGATGGCCAACAGGTGGTTAGTGGTGACGGCGGTGGACAATTCCCAGTGTCCTCGCGACGAAAATTTGCACGCTCGTTCTTCTTCTTCGATCAGTTCGGGAGGAATCTCCGAGGTGAGTATGGACACTTTTTTCTTCTCGGACGTTCTGAATTATCAAACGATGAAAAACTTTTAGATTAAATTAAAAGACAAATTAAACTAAGAAATTCAAAAGACGATCTCGTCTTACTGTTCGACCGTTGTTGCTTTGGTTTCGAGTATGTCTAACTTGTACACGTATGTTGGAAGGAGGAGGGCCATGTGACCGCTGCGAGAGAGAAGTCCGAAACAGACGGCCCTCATGGGCCTCAACAGCCCCAGTTTGCTTTCGGAAACTCTGTCCAGATCGGCATCCACGCCCCAGGCGTGTAAAATGGACAAAAGAAGCTGAGCGATCTCCATGGTCAAATTTGCTTCTGCCATGTTGAGATGACTGGGCTTTCTATTAGGACCATTTGAAATATTTCCATTTTTGTTATTAACCATTGATCCCTAGTGAAGAAATTAAATATAAATTACATAATCAAAATTATTTACTTTAGTACAGGGTGATTCGAGAGGATATTCCATCACTTGGGAGATTATTTTGGAGGTCATTTTGAGCAAAAAAATGTATAAACTTGGAATAATTCGCGGTGAACGGCACATAACCTCGCCTAACTTGAAAATAAAATGCATTTTTTTTTGTAATAAACTGTAATAAATAACGATTTTAAAAATAAAAGTTAGGCTACTATGGGTCCGTTTTACATTAATGTTTACAAACTTAATGAGTTTACGATATTTCCAAAAATGTATTTTAATGCACTCGGCCTCGTGCTTATGAAACACACGTGCCACTCCGTGTAACTCTGCGTGCCCGTCCTTGATTAGCACTTAATACATGCAAGTAGCTCCTTGTGTTTGTGCTTTTGTCTGGTACACAATATCCTTCATACATCCCCCACATACAGTAATAGATTTAAAGTTCACAGTAAATTACTCTAACTATTGACAATAGGACCCAAGTTTATAGGACATTTTTTGCTCAGAATGACCTCGTGTCATTCTGCTCCATATAAGCTCCATAAGTGGCAGTACATCTTCCTGAATCACTCCGTATGTTCTTTAAATACTTGTTAAATAATTTAATATACTGTACAAAGTCATATACACATCTTATAAAATGCATAAAAGAATTTACTGTATGTGTTAAAGATGAAAAATAAATTTGTTTTTTTTAACCATTTTGTATTTTCTTGACTATTTACAATGATAAGAAAATGGCAAGCATAAACATACAATTTTCTGCGCAAATAAGAGCATGCTCTCCTATGTACCGTCTTGTTTTGACATATAAGACTAACACACTACTGTTCCAACGTAAATTAAATATAAATATATTGACTATTCAGTAACATTTCTGAGGTGGTAGCCATTCTTAAAAATTAAAAGCCAAAATAAAAAAAGTATTTCTGATACCCTAAAAGTTTTTTAAATGGTGTGGTTTGTTTTGGGTACTTTGAAATATAATACAGCATTTGCCCCATCTACAAGACCATATCTGTGCAGAACATATAATATTACATAGTAATCTAATGGTATGAATAAAAGTATTGTGTATACTATACTGTTTAAAATAATGTAATATAAAACAATACCTATTTTGCCATCTGCAGGAATCTTTACTAACTAATAAACTTGAATTAATCTAATTAGATTTTGATACAATATGTAATCATCTTGGATATATGTGAATAACTCAAACTTTATTAATAGAAAGGAATAATCCTGTTACAGGAGGCATAATTAATGACCATATTTAAATTACAAATGATTGAAATTAATGTACTGTACATATATATTAATTTCAAGTATGGTTATATCTAAATTAAATATGTCTTGAAGTGAAGATCGGACAAAAGTCCGATTAGCATAACTGGCACAGTAAGCTGGATTTGCGAGTTTGAGTCCCACTTTGGCCGATTATTTTCTTCTGGAATCTTCAAATTAATTGTTAAAATATTAATCAATTATAATTATTAAATTTAGTGAGAGATGGTACCTAATGCCTACCTCTAATATCAAATTACTTAGCATTTAATTATTAATAGTAGTAGTAATATACTCAGGTATAATCTAGCAATCATTTGGCTTTAATATATTCACACAAACTTATAAAAGTTATGAATATAAAAATCTGGAAGGGCTCTCTTGACTTTCTATGATAAAACTCTCCATTTAAAATAGATATTTATATTTAAAAAACTTTATTATTATTATAAAAATCAAAAGGCAGCTTAATTTCAAGGGTAGAGACAAGTTTTTAAAAATATTGTAAATGTAAATAACCTGTAAAATTTCCATTACGTCTGGTCCCATTCGAAATATTACAAGTGACCTCTTCTATCTCCCCATCCCTTCAACCTTCAGCCACCAAAATTTAACATTATTGATGTCCCTTACATACAAGTTACCATGCCAAATTTTGTTTCTTAATTTTTACCCCATCCTGAGATATTAAGCAAAATAGATGCCAACACACACACAGAATTTCCCCACTTTTGTGCATTTGGGAAGTCTCAAACAAAGATTTGTAAAAATCCTATAGGGTTAATTTGATATAATTTTAAAATACTTTCCCATGTTACATTATAACAGTCAGGAAAGTGAAAGTAAAAATAAAACCTGTAAATTACTTTCTAACAATTTTATTAATTGTCATGACTTACCTTTCCAGAAATTGTGACTTCTCCCGACACAGCCTTAAAGCCCACGCTTTCGGCTTTTGCTTGTATCTTATGTGCGGCAGTTTCGGCTGTATCTTTCATCTTTGCAATAAAACCTAATTTTTTAAAATGTATATGATGAAACTTTTACTTTACTTGAAATTTTTTATTTGCAAAATAAATAATTTATGCATAGTTTTCATTTGAATTTTATCATTGATATACCTGTTAATTTTTTCTGGGCATCTGGTGAACTTGCCAAGTTTTGGTATTTCTGATATTCCGTCTGATTGATCAAGCCCTGTCCTTCTAAGGTGGCAGGCGACATAGTCGAATATTCTTCCGTTAACAGCTGAACTGTTTAAAGTTAATTTGAAATTTACAAAAACAGTTATAATTTAAATAATCACACTTTGCTTGATGATAAATAACCAACCTATAAGTGCTTCAATATCGAAGAATAATATGTGACTATCTTGATCATTGGGATTGGTTCGCAGTCCTTGTATCATTAAAGGATTGGCACGCGTTCTCTGTGCCACTTCTGTACCGTCGACTCCGGGTTGTTGGGAATGATGAGGATGCTGCAGCTGATGGAAACCTCTCTGGGCAGCGTGTCTGATGGCATCTAGATTACGATGCCGAAGACCGCGAAAAAAGTGTATGGCGGGATTCGTCATTCGGTCGCCGGCACTCACCACGTTCTCGTCGCAGGCACTGAGTATTTCTTCAGCCAATAAACCTTGTACTACTCTATCTAAATGTCCTTCAATAAAAAAAGATAGTTTTCAATAATATGCTGTGAACACACTGCTTATATATTTTATCTTAAAATAAATTCTCTTTCTCTGACATTTTTTAAAATTAGGCCTGTTATAATGCTGATCTAATTTCTTGTTGTCTATTGATAAAAGAAAAGAACATATGAAAAATATTGAGTTTAATGAGAAAGTTCTATCTTAAGATAATTTATATATTTCATTTCTTAGACAAGTTAAATCAAATAACTTTAATCATTACTTGCTTTAAGCAATGAAATTTCATATTACAATAGATTATATAACACTTAATAACCCAATGAACAAAGTTTGTTTTAAACATTAAATTTTTATTTTCTTGTAAAATGAGCTCAAACTAAATGATTATTTTCTTACATCATGTTCAAATACTTTTTGCCAGCACTGTATATATATTGCTTTTAAATAGAATCCACAATGCACACAGGAAAGGGATAATTATTTTATACATGTAATGAGATACTGCACATCTGGAATATTTTAATTAACTGTTATTTTAGTTTGGTGTGGTTCACCAAACTAAAAATATTTTAGGAAGCAGTTCTGATGAGCTGGTGCAAACCAGCTAAATACCACCACTGGTTTTATGTTGTGATGCCCTGCGTAAGAAATTTTGGCCAGTCTTTAGTATTTTTAATTTCGTGTACAAAATGTTTGGCTAGTTCCAGGTGCAGAGATGTAAATTTTTTTATCAGAAATTTTCAATGTTGTCTGCACCAGGTGTCTTCCACTGTGTTCTTTGTACTGCATGCTAAATGTCATTTGTGTTTATTTTGATGTTTTCTTCCTCTTATCCTACATGATTCAATTGTGTGTGTGATTGAATTGGACCAAAGAGCAGACAACTCAGACTATTGGTTTAATAGTCTGAGTTGTTGAGCTTCAATTTTAAAAAAATTGTAACCTATAAATTTCCCACTATCATTTGTCTGTCTTTTCTTAATCTTGAGAACAGAGTTAGGTAGATGAAAGCCAATACCAAATATGGAAAAATTAGAAACAGGAGGTCCCTATTAACTATATATGAATTTATATATGATAGGGCACAAATCTCATCCCTATCTGGTGTCAGTCCTGACAATTGAATGAGTCAAAAGATTTGGGCAACATAGCTATATTAAAAGCCATCCTAAGACAAGTGAGCGGACCTCAATGTCCCAACAACTTGAAAGTACAAAACCTTCGACCATGATCTCACAATTGTGTGTGGGTCTGGTATGTGGAAATTTCTAGAAAAGTGACTTATTGTTTGTGAATAATTTATGTTGTTTTTTAGTACAGGCTTTGTATTTTTTCAGTTTATTGAGTCCTAATTGTTGTCTAATGTTATTTATTTGTGTTTCTAGTCCTCTTTGACAAGGAGATTTATTATTTGTCTGATTGAAATTTAAGAGTTTGGTGAATAGTTGTAGTGACTGCACCAAATACACAAATGTATGTCTGAAAATGTTTATTCTGGTTGAATGTGTTTTGGTAGCATGCATTCAAGTAGTGTATAGTTTTTTCCCACTCATTTTGATATGTGTATTTGTGATCTGTGTATGGAATCTGAACCTGTATGTTTAGTTGTTATTTCCTGAAAAACATTTGTTTTAATTAGTTCTGTGTCTATAGTGTCATTGGTTGTAATAATTGTGTTAGTGTTTTTGCTAGTGTATGTTTTTATGAGTGACTGCTGTTAAGATACTGTCAGTGAATATCTAATCTATGTGATCAAGTGTTTGTGTTTATTGATAGATCTGTTATGCAACCTGTTGTTTGATATGTTAAAACATTGTTTGTGGAATAAGGTTGTTGTGTATAATTGTTCTTTCCTGATCAACAAATCCTTTGCTTTGTAACAGAGATGTGGGTATTTGTGTGAATTTACCCTGTAGTGTTTGTAAGTTGTCATGTCTGTTTTGGGTTTTGTGTTGGTGTACAGGTATGGATGATGAATTCATTTACTTCTTGAGTTCACTTCATCCATTGGCATGGTTTTTGTCCTTGATAGTCAGTGGCTGAATTATCACTGAAGTATATTGGCTAGGTTGGTGTGAGCAAGGTAGTGAATGTGTTTATGATGCAGTCGCCATATTTTGGCCAACGCTGTGTTCACCACTAGTGGCCAAGGGAAACTAACAGGTTTTTCAAATGTGAGCTTCTGCTTAACCCACAAACACAAACTTTTTAATCTGGGCAATGTCCAAGACAGTGTGCTGTGAACACAACCATTTTTGTTTTCTACACAGAAGTGGGTATGCTTATGTACCTAAAGCCAGGTGTTTATTGATCAGTTATTCAACGTGGAGAACAGTGCTGTTTAGCAGCCATCCACTCTGGATAAATATTGCTCATGAGTCATTCTTGGCTTCATTTCTTTATTTATTTATTTATTTTAACTACATTAGAAAAAGTCTAAGAATAAAGATTTCCACTCCCCACAAAGAATATGAGCTAAAAAGATAATGTGGGGTTAAAAAAGAATACATTAAAACAATCCCAAAAATGAAAATAAATAATTTAAGAGTTACAAAGAATGCATTTACAAGTATTTTTAAAATATGTAAAATTTTCATAAAGTATATTTGTGAAAATCTACTTGTAAAAAAAAGTCCCAAAATTACATAACAATTTGTTAATTATTTGCATCCAAGCTTTGTCCTCTCCCCATGGAAAATTTTCTGTGGATGCCTACTGGAAGCTTGTGCTCCCTCTTGCATTGTCTGTTTCATTGGAACTATTAAGCATTCTCATCTCAACAAGGTGATGATTTGTGAGAGAGTTATTATTAATTAACAGTAATTCTTTCAGTGTTGTTTGTCTGTTTTAGTACCAACAACAACAGCTAGCATATAACTGAAGTAAAAACTTACTGTGAACAAATAATTCAAACATTTGATGTTTAATGTACTGATTAAAACAGGTAACAATTGTGCATTATCAAGCTATGTTAAAGCTGATAGGCATTTTTAAGCTATCTTTTTGCACTATTTACCTGAAGATAACAACATAGTTATTATTTATTTTAATGATAATTTTGTCTATTAAGTTTTATAAATTTATTTCAGTTTGTATGTTTGGACTTAGTGATTCTGATAGCAATATTTGTAATTATAATAAATAGAATGTGAATCTTGGTTAATGACAAATGCAAAATCTTTCTGATTAACAGTTTTTAAGTCACAACACATCACATTTTGATAGATTTATTATTTAAAAAGGAATGATCAACTGAAATTATAAAAAATATCTAAAAATATACATTATTGTTTCTAATAATTACTTATTTATAAAGCATTACTGTTAATACGAACCAGTTTCCATCTGCCAAACGTACACCGAACCGTCTGCGCAACCAACGACCATGAAATCGTCAAGAGGCCTCCATTTGATCACCTGCACTGGAAAAAGATGTCGACTGGCCAACATAAAACATTTTTTCTCTCTCAGTCCCAACAGACAGACAGAATGATCACTTGCAATGGAACAGACGCTTTGGAGAACGCGAGGCTACAAAAAAATATTTATTTTAATTAACACTAAGAATTTGGTGATTTATTTTGTCAAATGCAATAAAAAACTTACATTACAGTTATTTGGAGGAATCAGTAATTGTGTGATCTCTCCCGCATGGACGCAAAATCTGTGAATTAAAGTTCCAGCATAAATGTCCCACAAGCATACCGAAAAGTCTACTCCTCCAGATAACAGATGTGCGATGTCGTATCGATTGTGTAAATGGTGAGGATACAGGAGGCACGTGACGCGACCAGTGTGACCGTGTAGTAGTTGATGAGGTGGCCAGTCTAAAAAACATCTAACATTATATTAATAATACAGGATTCTTAACCATCTAACAAAAAACACACAAATAATGCTGTTCTAGGACATACACAATCAAAGGTTAAAATCCTGATATATACTTCTAACAGACTGTTAATCTGAATATGAATTAATTACAATAAAAGAATAAATAAAGCAACTGTATTTCTACAACATATGACACGTCATTTATTCAATTCTGGTTTTTCTTTTACTTTTAAATATTTTTTGAAACAGTAAAATGACAGATTATTTTCATCTATATATTAAACCTGTCTATGATGACCACCCACGGTTCCTTCAAAATGTGGTCTTTTAGACAGGTGGTTGTCCAATACAGGTGGTGTGCTGTAATACCACATTTCCATGTGTATTTTGTGCACAGATATGGCTAAAAGTTGAGGTGAGCAAAAATAAGTGAATTTTTTCAACGATAGAGCTACACTGGTACTGTATTTTATTATTGGATAACTCAATTAACAGAAGTCGCCGTGATTTTATACGACAGGAAGACAGATTTAATACCAGTATTTTAAAGATGAATACAGTATTTGCATTGTCTTGATTATAATGCACACTTTCTTTTTTCTGACTTAATTAATTCAACTTTCTTCTCTTTGTTCACTCCTCAGTTACATGTATTATGTCATCGATATAGAAGTGCATGGTACCTCTCCACCACTTTGGTTTTTGTTTTCATTAGTTTAATCTTATTTTAACTTTAAAAATACTGTATTTTTTTAATATTTAATATTTTCATAAGTATAATAGAAAATTATTAATTAATAATAAAACGATTTTATTTCTTCTTCTCATAATATGATTTCATTACATCAATGACAATTGTGAAATCGAAAAAGGAGGACTGCCTGTAAAACTGATTTTTGCATTACTGCATTAATTGTTCTTTGAATATTTTGCGTGCAAAAATTACCTGGATATTATTTTTCTAAAAATATCGTGGAAATAAGGTAGGTTGATACAAACTATTTATTGCACGTGTACTGTATATGAGCTTCAAAAAAAATAAATAAAAATAAATTTTATCAAATGATGAAATCAGCAGATTAATTGTATCGTGTACAATATTTTATACCCGTAAGGAAAATACTGTACGTTTAAGGTAAAATAAATTGCGTTTTCCCACAGTTAAACTTCACTGCTATTTGCCATTGGGATAAACCATTTTCACTTTCTCTGATAACTTTAAAATGATCTTCTAACAACAGCACTTTGCATTTCTTTTGTTTTTCGGACAATTTCGAACAAACTGAAAAGAATTTCCTTTGTTGCTAGACTAATTCATTAACACCTGCACCTAATTTCAAGAGTGGGAGAAGTGCCCGAGGTGGGTTTGACCAAGAATTTAGACTAATTCATTATATTAGGAGGAGAAAACGTTGAGATGGGTTCAAACAATAGTTTAGACCAGATATATTTGTGGAAGTGGTTGCTTATTATGTTGTTTCCAACCAAAAATTGATGCCCACGGTTGTGTTACACAGGTGGTCATTTAATATAGGTAACTTATATGAAGAGTCTATGTATAAACTAATCCGTGCCAGATATTTTTGCCCATTTTGACAGGTGCCTGTCAAATGCAGGTGCTTGCCTAAGCAGTTTTTACTGTATATATATACATATATACATACATGGTAACAAAGTAATGGCAATATATTACCGTATTTTTATTTAAAAAGGTATCCTTGAAATCAAATCTGTTTAAAGATAGACAAAAATAAGAAAACATTGAAATTTCAGTCATAATCAGCACAACACTCCAAGTTTTATAATAAATGCATTTCCATTAAATGTTCCAGCTATTTGAATATATTAAATTGAAATCCGTCTGGTTTTTTATAATTGATTACAAGTCCAAAATTAGCATTAATTATTTACATTTATGCCAGTGGAAATGCTGTCTATTAGTGGTTAAATGGACTTAATTGACCATATTTTATAGGAATTGTAACACTATTTAATATACGAGGGCTATTTTTTAAATAAGGTCCATTTTTTAATAAGAATAAAAATACTGTAAATATCATTAAAATATATTTTTTTCCATATTCTACATACTTTTATCTACTTTTCTACATAATTTCCATTTTTGTTCAAACATTTGTCATACCGCTCAAAAATTTTTTAAATTCCGATTTCAAAGAAATCTGCCACCTGCTGCCAGAAGATATTAGGCCACGCCGCTTGTCTTGTATGCCACGGCGGAGTTTTCTCAAGGTCACAATAAGCATCAGAATTGATTGTTGTGCCTCTTGGCATAAAATTCACTAAGAAAGTCCCTTTCCTGTCCCAAGAGAGTTACCATGATCTTTCATGCTGAAATCGAATAACAGATCATATCTTATAGTCGGCGGGCGACTCAATTTTCTTAAACATTATAAACTTCTACAGTTCAGCACACAGACAGATGATACAGCTGCAAATGGCATCTAAACATATGCAAAACATACTGAAAGCAGATGCTCATGCACACTGCTGCAATCGCGCAACATTCTCACTCACAAACAGACCTTATTTAAAAAATAGCCCTCGTACTTAGTTAATTTTTAACAAAGTTTAATACATACAGAGGCTCTTCCAAAAATAAGCACTATCATTTAAATTACTGTAATTGTGTTAATTATCTGAGAAGTATGTAACATACAGTAATCAGTAGAGTAACAGTCAAGGTTTCATCTCCCATCTGCATTCAAATGTCTTGTCAACTTCCTCCAGAAAGTACTATAAACCAAAATGGCAACTCCTCAACAGAGAAGACATTTTGTGTTCTGCAGTTTGCAAACTTGGAATCACTCATCAAGGTGCAACACAAATAATCTGCAAGAGTTGTAAAATTGTGACCATTGTGGGAGGAGTGATGACATATGCCCTAACTAGTAAGAATTTGAGCATTTGTCAAATGCATGTCGAGTGACATGAGAACACATTCAAAAATTTTGCTGGGTAAATATGAAACTATAACAATTTTCCAATGTTTTAATGTATATTACTACTTTCTCAGATAATAACTAACATAATTATTATAATTTAAAATGGCAGAATTTTTTTCGAAGACTGTCTGTATACAGCATATATGTATTTGTCTGTAATCTTTTTTGACTTCTTTATACATACACTCCACCAATCCAAATAATTCTGTACACTGATTATTTGGCTAGTGAGAGTGCACTGTATTTATATTTCTGAATCTAAAACCTCCCAAGCTATTTTGATTTTTTATTCAATAAATAAAGTTGTTATAATTACAAGAATTAATATTTTACATCAAAATAAATTTTACTTGTTTAATCACGAGTTATAGTAAGTTAATACCTTCGTAAGTATGATGTTTGCCATAGAGAAGTTGTAGCATCACAGTTTGAGTGGCAGATACAATGATGATGCTTCCATCTTCTCTTCCACAAACAAGACGCCCTTGAAGAGGTAAGTAAACGCTGGATGTCAGTTTGAGATTCTGTCCTTCCGATCCAATCTTAAAAGGTTAATGTCACCTTTAAATTATTTAATTAAAATATTTTTGTTTGTTTTTATTAAAATTTACCATTTGATCTAATATTCCAGGAGGGGACAACTTCAAAGAATTCCAAGCTTCTTCCAAACTCCTGGAAGTATGAGGATGAATTTCTAGAATAATATAAAACATTTTCTTTCAGTCATTTTAAAATAATTATAAAAATATCATCATCAATAACATCAAGAAGTTCTCTATTTTCCACTTTCAAAAATCTAAGGATGATATACATAAAATATATTTTTGTACAAGTTAGCCAGAATGTTTGTGTTGATGTTAATTAAGTAAATTGATCATCATAATTTTAATGAATAATACAGTTTCTTCTCTTTCTTAATCTTCTCTCATCTCGCAGATAGATGTAAATTGTCTAAAAAATTGGTTTTTGAAATTGGAGATGTTTTAAAATGTTGTTCCACTCAAAGAATTCTGATAGGTTCAAATTTCAGTAACACAACTCAAGAAAATAAATCTCTACTTCCTGTAATTTTTCTTGTATAATTATCTCAAATATGTTTTCCTAAACACTGAATTTTATCAAAGACTTTACTTATATGAAAGATGAAAGTGGAAAGTATGTCATTGATTATGTTTAAATATGTAATGTTTAATACAGATAAACATATACATGTACTTTTATATTTAACTTATGCTTTATTTATAGTGAACTTTCAATAAATCAAATCATTGATTTTTAATCTAAGATTGATACTTTATTGAATCATTTAGTCATGTGTTTTCTTTAAGCCAAATGATAACTAGATTAAATTGAACTACATTACTGCTACTAATAATTATTAAATTTCAAGTAATTTGGCATTAGATGTAGGCATTAGGTGCCATCTCTTATTAAATTTAATAATTATAGTTACCGTGTAGATTTTAACTCATTTGCATGGGAAATTGACTCGCTGCTAATAAGCACATTCATTTTGCCATTGTTAGCATGGAATATTGTAATATATAAATATTTCATTCAGCAATACTTATAAGAAATTTCAATTTTGCATATTACAAGAGGTCCTCACTCGTAACAAAGTCAGTAGATAGTGAGAGATGGAACATTTGAATACAGTGGGTAGTTGATTATCCGACTCAAACCAGGCCAGAGCACAATTTGGATACCAAGATGTTCAGATAATTAAACATTGAACTATTAAATAATGTGAAAATGGATATCATACAATACAGTATTATATAAAAGTTGATTAAAACCAAGGTTAATATTAGTTTTTTTTGTAGCAAGATCTCCAACTTGTTTTAGTAGTAATATAACTGTTTCTAATGCAGCAAATGTATCAATGTGAATCTGACCATTGCTGTTTTCATCCATCCATTTCAGATATCCATTTAAGGCTTTGTGTTTGGCAATCCAAAGAAACATAAGAAATGGAAAAGAAATTGGATTAATGGGATATGGCAATGCATCACATGGATGATCTGCTCAGGGAAGATGTCTCCTGAGAGGACTTTTTATGAGAAAATGGTTTTATTTAGGTGTAAGATATGTGAAGAAAACTTGGAGAATTTCATGCAACCAAACCTTTGGTCAAGCACAAACCTAAGACCAATTATCAGTGTTAAGTGGTTTTATCCATACAGCCTCTGATGAAGGAAGAGAAAAAAAGAAGGGTTCAGATAATCAACATTCTACTGTGCTTGAAATTATATATAAATTTAAAATTAAAATACAAGATGGTTAACTGTTAACATAATATTTTGATTTCACTTTTGTCTACTTTTTTGTATGAACAGGAATTGCATACTTACCAAAACTTTACAATATTCCTCCATTTTAATAAATCAAATGTATGAAATGGTTTTATCAAATTCACCTATTTAGTAAAATTATAACAGTGTTATAATTTTACTAAATAGTAAAGCCACCTTTACAGTGAAGCCACCTTTAACAGTGAAGCCACCTTTAACAGATATTCCTGAATAGTGGACACCACCACTTAATGGACATTTTTACAATCCCCAAACACTTCAATAGGACATCTATTATATTTATTTCTAAATAGAGTACAGGTGTACAGGTGCCATATCGTTGTTAATGGTACATTTGAATTATATACAGTCGACCCCCTATAACACTGTTGATAATTTTGTTTTATATGAATTTCATTTTGTACAAGTCACTTAGATTTTACAAATATGTGAGCTGTTCACAGCCCGACACATATATTTGTAAAATCTAAGTGACTTGTACAACATGGAATTCATATAATATGGAATTATCAACAGTGTTATGGGGGGATCGACTGTACATGTATTTTAGATTATTTTGTACAGTATACTTGTAAAAATGATATTCTGAATACTGTATATATTTCTTTCTTGTTTAGTTGACTGATGAGGGGCCAAAAGCCCAAAATGTGTAGAAGTACCGTATCAATTAAATAAAGATGGAAAAGAAGCCACGTGTTTGGTTAATAACACGATCTTGTGTTTAATGCTCAACTATAAAGCAAACAAATCACTATCAATTTTTTATTAGTCGCTTAGATCATAAATGATGTTATAAATGCAAGAATACTGAATACATTTCCCATCCCTTAAAGTGGCTAGCAAATCATCTTTGTAACTTGACATTTAAACTCTCTCCACCTAAACTGACCTTTGTCCACACTTCTGTTCATAACAACAGTTTCAGTTTTCTTTTTTGTTATTTCCACCCATGACATTTTACATAAATTAATAATTAATTAATCAATGTTCGTTTTGTTGTAATTTTTATGTTCCATTTTAAAGTATCCTGTCCAATCTCTTTTACTATTTAGAACTGAATTGAAATGTGATTTTTAATGTGTATATATATATATGTATTAAAAATATATATATATATACATTAAAAATATATATATATACAATAAAAGTGTATATATATATATACATACACATACAGTGGTACCATGGTATACATCTGCTTTAGAATACATCCAATCCGGAATACGTCCTGTTTGGACGAAACAAATTTCGCTCAGTATAAGACTTTTGTTCGGTATACAACTTAATTCAATTATACACACCATCTATGAACAAGTAGCACTATCAGTGTACTAGACCAGACTAGATGTTCGTGGTGCCACGGTTTATAACTTTGTTAAATTTCTTCCGATTTTAATTTGTAAGTAAAATTTTATTATTTTTATTAATCACGAATTGCAAAAAGACAAATGAAAAGCAACAGAAAACTAAAAAAATGACTAGAATCAAATTGGAACTGAAAAAAGAGATTATTGAGAAATATGAAGGTGGCATGTGTGTTCGAGATTTAACTGTTGCATACGGTATTCAGAGAACAACGATATCGACAATCGCGAAAAATAAAGACATTATTAAATCTGCTAACGTTGCGAAAGGGGTTAAATCAATTTCTAAACAGAGATCAAAAACATTAGATCATGTTGAGAAATTGTGTTTGCTTTGGATAACTGAAAAACAGTGTGCTGGCGACAGTGTATCAGAAGCAATTATTTGCGAGAAAGCTAAAAAGATACATGCTGATCTCATCAAAAATCAAGCAGGAACTAGCCAGGAAAGCAAGGTGTTTAAAGCCAGCCATTTTTTTTACATGAGAATGGATTAATCATTTTTACATTACTTCTTATGGGAAACGTTGGTTTGGTATACATCCTGTTCAGTGTAAGTCCAAACATCAGGAATGGATTAAGGTCATATACCAAGGTTCCACTGTATATATATTGTAGGATACAAAAGTATACTATATCCTACTTATACTTTTTGGTATATTCACATTCCTAAAGCAAATTTGACATTTTTGTAATCTGTCGTATTCTTCACTATACGATGACAAAGTTAAAATACAGTATAGCCATCAGCATGAACAGTACCTCTGAATAGCTGACACCTCTAAAAAGCAGACAAACTTCTCAGTCTCAAAGGTGTCTGCTATTTGGAGATTATACTGAATTAAAAGATAAAAGTTAAGAATATTCAAGAAAGTTTCATTATTATTTTTAGAGATCTGGCTAAACTTAATGGACTGTTTGTGCTAATATTTCTTCTATTGTAGATTAGATGCAATGCAATTTTCTTTTTATCAAATTATAAAAAAGAATTGTGTTGATTTTGTAATGAAGGTTCTTGCTTAGATGTCTTTCATTTATTAGATGATCATAAATTAGTTGTCAATTTACAAAGTTTTTGGTGGTAAAGTTTTGAATAAAGAATTAATCAAAAGAATCATATGTGAATCTGTCATCTGACTTATATTTATACACTGTTAGTTATATTGGGAGATCTGTTTGAAGTTAGTGGACTGTTTATGCTAATATTTCTTCTTTATAGATATGTTACTCGTATTTTTTATTTTTTTGGACAGATTCCCAATCTTAATTACAGGTTTAATTTAAATGTATTTATGAATGTGTGTATTTTCAAATTTAATAGTATAATTAGTCCATATTTGATTATATTTGGATAAAAGCAGTGCTGGCTACTTGGGTAAACAGCATAAAGAATAATGCCCTAGATGCTATTTAAATAAATAATTATTATTTTAAAATTTCAGAAAAATTCTATTGAATGTGTGTATAATTTCATTTCAGAAAATAATTTATTAGAAATACCTGGTACTTTATCAAACGATTCCTGCTGAACAAGACTCAAGTCTCGATTTGTGACTTCGGGAATGCTCCAAATTACAACTCTCCCACTAGAGTCGCCTCTTAATAATAATCTCTGGAATGTACCTCTGGTCGTGAGAAAGTAATTCATGGCGGGCGGACAAAGAAGACGCTGCAAAATATGAAAATTAAGAATGAACCAGTTACGCTTATCATGAATTAAGGTTAAAAATGAGGTAAACCAACCTCATCGTTTTGAACAGAGAGTATGCAGTATAAAAACGGTTGATCATCGACCTTTGCGGGCGAATGGAATTCTTTGTTTCCGACAATGGAACTGTTTTCATAAAATGTTCAAGTTAAAATATATTATAGAAACAAAACACAAATTTATATAAAAAATAGCATGCACAGAGACAAATATCTGAATCATGCCAACAGTATCAATCATCACAACAGACAAAAGAGAACAAAATACATCAGGCAACTAACTATAAGGGAGAAAAAAGAATGAGGAGAAGGATTATAAATGCACAAAAAAACAACTTCATGAGTGAGCATTACTGAAATATAAATTATCTGCAGTATAAACATTACTCATGGACTAACAGTTAAAAAGAGTCAGAATGGAAACTGCATTCAAAATTATATATAAAATCCAAAGTCCTAAATCAATATATAAAAGTTTAAAAAAGAGAGAATTGTGACAATAGAAAAAGTTACAAAACATCAAAATTTATTATTAAAATTCATTCAATTGATTATTAAAAAAAGCTACGTTAAAAATAATTTTTTTTTTCTTTCTGTTAAAACAATTGTTGTAGTTCAAAATTTAAAGTATTTTAAAAAAACTTCTATATGTGGCTAGAATAATTCTACTTAAAATGACTTCCTCACAAGGTACAATTATTCATTAAAATATACAGGGTATCCCATAAGTCTGGCCACATAGGAGTTGTTTGTTTATTTTCTTACAGATGAAGTAAGACATTGAGTAAGGAGGGATGAATGCATTATTTTGATGGTGCAACTCTAGGTCGGCGTGAAGTTGCTGCCAAATAGTTTAACAGGCCATATCCGTACTTCCCGTCAATAACGTACAGTGGTCTGGATATAGCTGTTTAAACTCTTTGGCAATGACCAAGGGTTGCACCATGAAAATAATGCATTTGTCCCTCATTACTTGGTGCCATGCTTCACTCGTAAGAGCATAAGCAATATAACTCCTACAGACTCAGACTTATTGGACACCCTGTATACTTGTTTAAGAATTTCTTATTCAAAAAGGGCATGTTTATAATAACAAAACTTTATCTAATTTATACATTATTACTAAGTCAAAATATAATTATAGACTTTGCAGGTAAGTCTTTTTCATTAGTATAAATCAATGCAATGAAGCAATCAAGTTCACTTTATAAGCAATGCTCTATAATAAGCACCATTTGGAAATTAAAATCCATCTTTAACAGTTTTTAAAAATGTTGCAATTTAAAAAAATTAACTCTTTCAGAGAACTTTCAAGCTAAAGACTAGTATTTACGAGTACCATCAATCTAATGTATTTACGTTTAATCTTATAGCATTTAATTTAATTTAGGAATAACCTCGTGCACTTTCTCTTTTTCAAAAGTTTTAAACTGTTTATTCTTTAGGAAAACTTCCTGGCAGGACTACACTGTATTTGTAAATTAATTATAATGCTACTAATTTCAACTCTAGTAAATTTTAATTACCAAGAATAAATGGGAAAAAACAATTCTAGAAAACTGCATTCCTACTTATTCTGCCATCTTTATAAAGCTTAAATGCTTATTGTGAATTTCTGAAAAATATAGATCAACATTTCCTCACTCTTAAAATTATCTGTTCTGAAAACAAAATTTTAGTCTGTTTTTTTTGGAACTATCTCTCTTCCTGGAAAAATTTGTAGACTGAATAATAAAATTGATAGAAATACAGGATATACTTAATTTATTCACCTAATTAAGAAACTCAGTGGAGGAGGGAAACTATAACAAATATTGAAAAATAGGTAATTACACATTAACTCAATGTTCCCCACATTATGCAATTTCCATGACAAGAAATTCCCAAATTGTCAGATAACAATCAACTGTGTGGCACTGAGGTCTCCAACATCACCATCTTGTATATCTTCTTGATGAAGTCCCACGGAAAGAAAGTGTATACAAAACAGATAACTAGCATGGACAAATTGAATGACAAAATTGTCCAGCAACACAGTATCAAAGGTGTTAAAAACATTTGGAGAGAAACTGAGCACAGACTTGATATTTGACAAAAACAAAAGGAGCATGCATGAAAGTTTACTAAAATGCCACCACAGTCCCAAATGTTCATAAAAAAAGTTTTAGAATTCTCTAAAAACAGTTAACTACGTATTGTTATCTGTTAGTTTTTTAATTAATTTCTTAATCAGGTGAATAAATTATGGACATCTTCAACAGTCTTCAGTAGAGGATGTTAACTGAAATGTATGTTAAGATTTAGTCATTCTTAATTTGGAACAGCTACATGTCATCTGCTACATGCAGCTGTTTTTGCATGTTATTTGTAATTCACTTGCTTTAGTGGAAGCAATTGAATTACAAATTACATACAGCTGTTTAAAAAAATATTAAAATTAGTTTTTCAGTTTATGAGAAAATTCATAAAAATGCATTTTGCTTCAATCAATTAATTGATTTTTGAGTTTATTCTTCCATTATCTTACAATATTTATTATTACAATAACTTTATCAAAAGCTTAAGGTTAACTGTCATTGAACAATAAAGAAACTGTATTTTAACAGAAAGAAAATTCACAAAAGAATCGAATTAAGGTTTTTCAAAAATAATCATTGAAACGTGATATAAACTTGCATACAATTCACTCTATAATGGCAAGATGTTTTAATTATGCAAGTTCACACACTTCTGATATTTCTGAAAAACTCTTTATTCAATTTGTTAATCAAATTAAAAGTTTTTTTTTCTGATAAATTATTTATTTTTTAGCAAATTAATGCAAAAATAATTCACTTTTATAGTTTATAGTCATTTATTTTATCAAAAAATAAATGATACCATATATAATAGAAATTATTGTTAACATTTCAAAAAGTTTCAAAAATTTAACTCATGCAAAAAAGGCGATTAAGATTAATTCTTTAATTAAATATGACAGCTTTACAACATTATTTTCTTCAGCAAGCATCAAAAACAAACAGAATCTAGCAGAAAGAGCCAATAAAACGAATTCCTTTTCAATACTGACCTAATTGCTTTTCCTTTCAGTTTGCTGTCAAAAATATAATAAATATATATTTAACATTGCAAATTTCTCATTTTGCAAACCATTAAACAGGAGAAAATACATTAATTATATATAAACAATTAATTTTTGCTTTTGAAAAATTCAATCATTACACAAAATGATCCACAGTAAATATAGTAAACTTTGAGAGGAAAAAGTTAAGGAAACAAAATCAAACAATAAAAATGTGATGGGACTTTACCACGATCCTTGTATGCAGTCTTACAAAAAATACTTATTAAATTATCATTTCACCGATCAATCATTTCAGAAATATGTTTAGTTTACTTTTAATGTGAAGTGAAGCACACTGTGGACTATATCACAAACCATAATTTTGTAACTAAGCTGGATTCAATTATGAATGGTGTCGGCCAGCTCAGGTGACACCTTTTAAGTGGAAATGCGGCACCAGTTCCAAAGAGACCATAAAAGAAGTTCAATCCACATTGCAAGGATATGAATGAACTTGAATCAAGATTCCATGTGATATAGGCAAATGCTTAAACGTACAGTAAACAGGTTTACATTCTCTTTTAACTTTATTTGCAGCTATGCTTATTAAAGTGTTTTATTGCATAATTCAGAAGTGATCATGTTCAATATATCATTCTAAACTAACATACATCTTACACATTAACCCATCAAAATCTAGTTTACGTAATAATTTGCCAAGTGTTCCATATTATCTGAGGTATCCTCAGTTTGCATTACCTTGAATAAATTGGAACTATCATATATAGCCAATGTAGAAGAAAATCTCTCTTTTAAGCAGGAAGTAATTCTTGAAGATGTTTAATTATTATTAAGTAAACTTCAAAACTAAAATCTTGATTTAATATTATAATTAAAGGAGATGATGAAACTTTCCTTTTTTGTTTAATTCTGTTTCTAATTCTCTCTCAAATTTATTATATTTACTTACACAGTTCATTGAATAGAAAGTCCAAATTACTCTCAGTTTTGTTAACACAAATGGAGTAATTAAAATTAGAAGAAATTATTATAATTCATATAGTAATTACCCATTTACACAATTGTTATTGAATAAAAAAAATGGTATGCAGTATTTTAAAAAAGTCAACAAAAATTTTTCTTCTAAAAATATACACTTTACTCAAATTCAATCTAAACATTTCATATTCAATTTCTTTGTTTCAATGTCAAATTATATTTTACTTAAACTCATTAATGCATTTATTTTCTTCAACTGCTCACTCAAACTCTTCTAACTTATCCAAAAATAAATATTTTGTATATCAAACAAGTAATTTAAGCAAAATCAAATTTGGTTAAACGCATGCCATAAAGGTTAAGTCATAATTAGGAGGGGCGGCCAAATCGAAAATAAATCCATTTGGCAAAACCATTTAATAATAACACTCAAAAAATTAATTTTTGGTATCAAAACTCAATTAATTCACATAAAACATGCAGATAATGTTTACTTAGTCTGTTCATACTAACTTTGGATACTGCGATAAATATTGTTCGTTTCCAGCTAAAATATCTCCGTCCATCGAAGACTGTGGCGAAATTAAAGCGATGCTGAAATACGAAACATTATTTGCAAAACTGTTATGTATTACATAAAATTTTTTTCCATTACCGTTATCAATTACTTTCTATCAATTATTAGATTGTATTAATCAAACTTGGTATAAACCAAAGTTATCTTAAACAGACTATAAACATGTTTTGCTTTCTTTGTAATGATGTATCAAACATATACATTATTGTTTCTGAAAATAAACTTAAAATGCATTAAGTTATATAAAATTTATCATATACACCGCTGAAAAATTTCAAATAAGAATTAAAAATAACATCTATTTTAATTAAATTTTAAAAATTCCTAATATAAAATTTAACTTTTAAAAATCATGCATTATTTTATTTATAGCATTTAAAAAAAAACACAAATATTCGTATTTTTTCTGCATAATCCCTTGACAATTTTCAGTAGCCCAACCCTGGAATTTCATAATATACACTGCAAATTGTGTGTTTTATAATAATTCATTGTTAACAATATTAACTTTAAACAAGTGTAAAATAATATCTAATCTATATCAAGACATCTTAATTAAAAAAAATAAATAGTAAGAAAAAAGTTAAATGTAATTTAGTTTTTCTCATAAGCATAATTGCATACTCATGGCAATTAGCAAGTCAATCAAACTGATGTAACTTTATATAAGCTAAACTGGCTGTATTGATGTTATGTATAGATAAATGACAACATATTTAATGTTTTGTCATAAGTTCTAATACAACAATGTATTAAACTATATGTAATAAAAAATATGAATGTTATGTGGATATATTATGTACAACTCATAATGCATTCTTGTTTATTCTTTTATGGCAGAAAACAATGTTTTCATCATTAATATAAAATTTGTATTGTAATAAATAAAAAAGTATTCTTAAATATTAAATAAAATATTATAGTTCAATTTTTATGCTGTTTTCTAATAAAATGTAAGATCGTGATTTTACTCTGTCATTCAGAGAACAATTATTCATTAAAAAAATACTGATATTTAATCTACGTAATAACTAACTACATAATTAAAAAAATGATTTTTTGAGGCAAATATTTATATACAACATCCCAAGACATTAAAATATTTACATTATAATTAATGTAAAAAGACTGAAATATTTTTGTTTTGAATTTTAATTGTAACATTTTATAATTTAACACATTTTTACTCTCTTATTTATTTGTTTTTTTCTTTTTACTGCAGAATGCAAAAAAAAGTGTCAAATTTATCCTACAAAATTAAGAATGTAAATTACAAATTTAGAAATATAATATTCTATGATTGCTAATCTATATTTCATAATAATAATGATTATCTTCAGATATTTCTTCAGTTTAATATAAAATTTTAATAATAATAAAAATATCCTTTTATACACCAGTTTTTATTCTTATTATTCAAATTAGTAATATAGTTCACTCAAATTCAGCTATTGGCTCAAATAAAACTTTTATTTTGCATAACTTTTACTACTCATAGTTATAAACTTATGCATATTTGCACTAATAATTCTTACACACTCATACAAATGAGGTATGTAAGCTTTCAACCATAAAAGATAATTTGTCATCATTTAAAAAAATTGCAAATAAAATACAATTGTATGATATGAAATTTCCCCTGAAAACTTGGTTCAACTTTATATATATTTTTGTACCATAATTGTTGTTTATCATTAACATCAGTATCATCGTAATTCCAAACATTTTTTTAAATTTAAGAAACAAATTATAAAGCATATTTTAAACACAGAACAATTATTTTAACTTTCTTTTAATATTTTGACAAGTATTACAATAAAATAACTTTATAAACAACAGATACAGCTTTGAGCTTTAGAAAAAAAAAGCAGAAAAATTAAAAGCATTTTAAAAATTATATAAGAAGCAAAACTCAAATTGTATTCTATAAAAGCACTTGCTTCTATTTTTAAAACAAACTTTTAAATACAGTATGTGTATATGTATATTTATGTTAACTATAACAACAACAAATTACTTAGACAATATAATGTTTGCTTAAAAATTTTACATAATCTCTATATTTTGCAAATTTAGATTTAGTTTTCCTATGCTAAAACCAAATAACTACAAAATCAATGAATTCAATGTAACAAGTTGATGAATTTAATTTGTATATGTAAAGCTTAACAATGTGTTTATATAAAATAAAATAAATCTCATACTTTGTCGGTAGTTTGTATAAATATCCTTTCCCACCATCACTCCATATTAATACTCTATCTGCAGAGAAAAAATCGCCACCTGTCCACCTTTCTCCAATACGATTTTCCAATGAACACAGTAAAGAAAAGTCACCAGCATCAAATATCTTAAAAAAATGTTGTTGTTTATTAATAATTATTTAATAAATACACTACAATAATAAATCATTATATCTTACCTGCCAGTATTTGGCACATACAATAAGAATAGTTCTTTGATTATAAGCACAACAAGTTAATTTCAAAGCATTTAAACATTTAATTCGTTTTGATTCATTTTCATAAATTGGTTCATTATTCTATAGAAAAAAATATATTTTTAAATCTTTTAATAGTGAAATTAAATATATATGGAGTCATTATTATTAGATTAAGTTTATTATAATTAATTTTCCAAAAGATATATAATACATTTCAATATTTTTACAAGAACAACAAGAATTTGTTGAGAACATAAGAAAACTAATTTTATCCAGAAAACGTTTATATTAAAATTATTTTGAAACTATTGTTCCTTCTTCGGTCAAACATTTTTCCTTGAAAAACCATTAATCCAAAATAAATTCCAGAATGTATTTTAGCTGAATACAGTTAGTTTCTTTGAAATTTTCTAGTTTGATAATTGCAAAAATTCTACACAGTAATTCAATAATTGTCTTTGGTTCTCTTTACAATTCATTTTCAATTATTAACAATCTCAGATTGTGTAACATTCCATAAGATATCAACTTATTATATAAATTTTTTTATAAAATTTAGTAGTTAAAATAATAAATTTGAAACAGTTTTTTTTTTTAAATTTCTTACTTTGCAGTATTTATTACCTTTGATTCATTTCCACTTAAAGTCCACACTTTTACCATTCCAGATGCAGATAATGCTACAACAACGTCATCTGCCAATATATTTTAAAGTATTTAATAAATACAATTAGAACTGAAATTATATTTAAAATAAATATACATATATTTTTTGTGGACATTCAAAATTATAAATAATTGATCAGGAATTTTTTTGCTGTAAAATGTAAGTCATTTCTTACATGAAAAAGAATATTTCTTCCTAAATTATTAGGTTATCAATATAGTACTTTATTACATGTTTGAATACTTTGAATTAGTTCTTCTCTATCACTATTAACATAAAATATTTCATACTGATTGTATTACTGAAAATGATATTTTAATCCAGAATATAAATATGCTAGTGTTTTGGTGGGTTATTATTAGATCAATCAAGTATAGATTTCACAGTGCCACACTCCATTTACTTGATGTTGATCTATTGAATGAACAAAAATATCAGTAAATAATGTATTTCCATATATCTTTTAATTAATGTTTGGTTTGATAGGATAAGGCAATGCAACATAAGTGATCTGCCAAGGGAGATGTCTTTTAAGAAGACTAATACCTAAATAGGTTTATTTTTTCTTAGACATGAGAAGAAAATCTGAAAAAGTCCATATGGCTAGCCAACAGTCAGGCATGAGCTGAGACCAAATTTTTGATATAACATCATATGCCAACAGTTGGGATACCAAAAAATTTGCTGCATGTGGGTTCCAAAGTTTCTGATAAAGGAACAGCGAAGAATGCGTTCATGTCAGTGAAGAATGGGTGCCTCTCTGGAACATCTCAGTTGCTACCAGCGAGAGGGTGACTCATTCCTGCACACTATCATCACTGGGAATAAGACGTGGTGTCACCACTAAAAGCCACACACATGATGTAGGAGTCAACAATGGAAGCACGATGGGTTCCCACCACCCAAGAAGCTTCAAACCTCAATCACTGCAGGAAAGGCCATGTTGACTCTATTCTTCAACATGGAAGGACCTGCACTCATTGAGTGGCTTCCCAAAGGAATGACTATAAACTCAGTTTCCTATCATAAAACCCTGAAAAAGCTTTAAGCTACAATAAAGAGTAAATGTGCCAGCATACAGCATCATGCTTTTGCATGACAACACTCACCCCACTCCACAAAATACGCTCTGTCAGTTCTGCTGAGAGCAGTTGGACTACCTCCCTACAGCCCTGACCTCAAATCGTGACTGCAGCGTGTTTGATCCATTAGGGAAAGGTTTGAAGAGGTGCCAGTTTCAGTCAGATTGCAAGGCAAAGAATGCAGTGGAGAACTGGCTGTCACAGCAGTCCTCCAACTTCTTCAAGCATGGCATCCGCTGCCTGGTGGAAAAATGAGACAAATGCCTTAACAACTGTGGCACTTTGATTAAAGTTGTTTTTGTCAATTTTCATTGTGTATTTATTTTATGATCAACCCTAATAATTATAAATTATTTAAATGAATAATGTAATAATGTACACACATTTTTGTTTTTTCATGTTTACTTTTATAAATATATAATTAAAAATTATTAAAATTGAAATTTCATATACAAAACCTTGTCTCTTTACAGGCCGAAGAACGTGTATGGCATTTATCCAATCTGGGCTAATACGAGAAGCTAATTTAAATATCACTTCAAGAGTAAGAACATCCATAACTAAAATTTCTGCATAGTAGCCATTACAAAACAAATGAACATCCTTAGCTCCTGTTAAATGGTATGCCTATAACAGAATGATTAGTCAAATTTTAAAACAAATTTATTCTAAAATCAAAGTTTAGAAAAACGTAACTTATGTCCTATTGGAATGATGATAAAAATAAATAACAATCATCTTTATCTTCATATATACAGAGGCAACTCACAAGTAAATACACCCACATTTTCAGACAATTTTTTATTTCACAGTATCCACATGATACAAATACCACATATGCACATTAAAACCACAAAGCCTTAACCTAATTAAGCATGGAATAAATGAATGCTGCTATCTTGGCCTGTGAAACATTGGTCCACTTAGGACATAAGCAATCTAAAAGTTCTCCATGGAAAGCATGTTTTCATGAACACAGTTGAACTGCATGATCCAATAGATTACAGACATGTTTGATGGGTTTGTTTTGTATGACCGACTTGCCATGGAAGCTTGTGAATGTCTTGTGTTGCCAGCCAACTCTATCTTTTTAGAGATTTGATGAGGAGCTCCATCATCCATGAACAGAGTGGATGTTTTTTTTCCATCAGCCCATTGGAGAATATTGGAAGTAGACCTTTCTCAAATATGGCAATGTATTTTTTGAAGTTAATATTGCATCATGCATTTCCTGACATTCAGGGTATCTATTTATGGGTTGTCTCTGCATAGAAAAGTCAATGGGATTTATCTTCTTTTCATAGATGAGAAAATACAGAGCTTTTAAATATGCATTTCTCAACAGTATAAATAATTTATACGTATAGAATTGTTTTATATATAAAATAACAGGAAAGGAAAAATAAAAAACTTTCAAAACTTACTTGAATGTTAGTATGTACATATGACATCTTCGTAGTTTCTATGCATCGACCATCCGTTAAATCCCATAATGACATTTCCCTAAATGACAAAGTTTGAATTAATGTACATTTTAAATTTTACATAAATATATAAAAATTTTAAAGATTTTTACCCTGCTTCTGAAGAGCTTACTAATAGAGTACTATCTGCAGAATTACTTCCATATGTTAAACAGAGAACAGGTGCAGTATGCCCAAAAAGCAAGCAACGAGGTATAATCTATTACATTTAAACTAACTTGTTAATAATTTATTAATATACAATTCAGATTATTATTAATAATAAACAATCTTTAAAAATTGATACATTACTTTCAATAAATGTATCAATCAGTAAATGAAAAATTCACTAACTTAAATTTAATTGGGTTAAATGAGTTCCTGTTAATCATTTAAATGTTGGTATGTAATTTTTATTGAATTAAAAACTATGTTTAAAGAAAAAAAATATTACATAATAAAACCATGTAATAAAAAAAATGCTTCGTAGAATGCAAAAAGTATCTTTCAATGCTTGGATACAAACCAACCTTTTTAATAAATCCCAGAAAAAAGCCCTTTGTTCTTAAAATCAATTTTCAGTGGGGAAAAAAAGTCAAGTATTCACTTGACTTTTTTCCCCACTTTTAATTCTTTTTAACATGCAGGCACTAAGAAGACTCCTTCACTGAGTAGAAGCCAGTGTCTGAAGATACTCATTATACATAACATCTCACTAGGAAAATTATGGTTTCTCAATCACAAGCTATCTTAGCTGCAGGCATATAGATAATACCAATCAAAAAGAACTAGATATAACTGCCATCAAAAAAACATATAAGATGATCTTCAATGTTTTGGCTGGAAATTGTAATGTCAAATGCACCAAATATTCATTTTCAAGTAGTTACACATTAAAAGTAATTTTTTAAAATATCATCTACATAACTTAATGAAAATGTAAAAGTGACCGTCAAACAAGTGTTGAATAATGAGAAAAAAAATCCTCCCCAATAAATCAGCAGTGGACATAAGGAACGGATAAGAGAAACAAAGGTAAGGAATCTTCAGTTGGAATTAATGAATATTGTCCAAATAAGAAGAAATAATTAAATTCAGATACCAAAATAACTAATCCCGGAAATATAAGAATTCGTTTAAGATTATGCCACATGTATTGAGAACATAAATGTACACATTATATGATACAGACTTGATAATTGTATATGTATACAGACTAAAAATCTACATACAGCTTTGACAATAATAATAATGATTTAGTTATGCTTTTTTATTGTCTTTGTTCTTTTGTTTAGAAAATTTGATATGTATGCATAAATAATTAAATATTAATTGTTACACTTAAAAATTTATGAACAACTTACTTTTAAATTGTCTATAACATCCCAGAGGCAAATCTGTCCATCATTACATCCAGTTACTATTGTTTTTTGATTTCTTGTAAAATAAATGGAAGAAATGCAGTGTGTGGGAGCCTGATTACCCCATAGTGTTAGAGGTATCACTAGTTGACTAGAAATAGTCATTCTGTAAAAGGTTTAATTATAATAGTAATAAATGTTAAACAATTTATTTCCACAATAAATATTTCTTAAATACAATTACATATAACACATTAACATTTATTATTACTACTGTATATATTTTATATATTAAATCTATTAAAATTATTATATAAAATTGTATAAAAATATAAATTGTTATTTAATCCTAATATTTTGTTACTACATAAAATCATTAATTCAGGATCCAACATATCATTGTCTAATGATCTAATACAGTGGTTCTCCTGTGTTCCATGGAACATAAGTGTTTGACAAACTTGCCTTGAGCATTCCTCAAAAAAGTTTTTATTGCAAATTCATTTCAATGTACTACAATATATTAGTTTATTCATAGACAATTCAATATAATAAAGTTAATTGTTTTGTGAGTATAGTAAATATGGAATTACTTATCAACTTTTCAATATATTAATGCTACTGTATAAACAATCATCACAAAACCTGATAAATTTGTAAATTTGGATTACATTGGGCTACTTTTTCACAGTTATATCTAGTAATTAATTAAATATAATTGCAGAAAAGTAGCCCAATGTAATCAGGTGGTTGTTTGGCTTTAATGCTACTGCTGTGCATAATAAAAAGAATAAAAATGGTGTTCCACAGCCTCAAAAAGATTGAGAATTATTGATCTAATATTTCATAGTTTTTTTTCTTTTCATAGATAAGAAATGCTGTAAAATATTTTATTACATAATATTTTCAAGTAGAGTTGTTAAATAATAATGTCGAGGATTCCTGTTTAAAACACTGAAATTCACAATTATGTAGTAATTGCGAAATATATCCTTGGATATGTTCAACAATTCTTATTCAAACTATTTCCAAAAATACCCAAGGATATATTTCACAATCACCAAAAAATATTTTAGTCTTTACCAGAGTAATTTTTCTACAAACTTCAATCAATACATTACAGTTTTGAAACAAATTTTAAACATTATTTTAAAGAATAAAATACTTTAATGTACAGTACTAACTAGATTTATATATAAGCAATACAATAAGCCTGAAATCATTTGCTAAATGCTTATTCAAGTATCACTGCATACTTGGATTATAAATCTGATAAATTTTTAAAAAGGAATTTGGCTTAAAGGTAGATGATTCAACAATTTTCTATTCTCTTTACTAATTACAATTTAATTGTAATTTTTACCTTTCATACCAAATTACTTAGCAATCAATTTAAAATACAACAGAGTTATAGCTAGAAGAATATTTCCAACATTATTTCATTTAGTAAGCATTTGGCAACAAACATACGTTGGTTGGAAGATATAACTGCATTAATTTTTGGGATACTGATAATATTTCTCATGCTTAGAAGTCTTTCTATGAAGTCCACTGACCTCTAAGTCTTGTTCCATTAGTCTAATGGATGAAGAATGGGCTACTTCGATTATGTTATATTGTTTTATGTTTTCATTTATTCTGTGTACACTGATTTTTGTAATGTTCCATTATCATTTTATTTCTATCTGAACAGTATGAATTTGCAAATATGTTATTTTTTCCCATATTCTTCAAACATCTGTTTAATATTTATAATATTCTATTTGATATTCAGTTTCTTTTTCTTGTTATATGGCCTGACAATGATCATTGAATATGACCACAAACATCATTGTTTCTTCTTGAAGTATCAGAGTTAATTTTTGAATATTTATCCAGTTGATAATTCTGAGCTTACATTTGGCATTATATGCTTTTCCAAATCCTTTATATATATAAGAAATATATTTACTTTATTATAATATAGATTTAATACTTTTATTATTATTATAATGATAAAGTTGAAGTGTATCCCAATGGCATATATTCCAGTGCCTAGAACTATGTCAGACAATGATCAAGGTAAAATTACATGACAAGCTATTAATATGTTTACATGCTGTTTGTGACTATCTGTTTAAGAATTTCTTATTAGCCTATATGTATTCAGTAATGTGATTTGTGTGCTGTTGTGACACCTAATATTTGGAGACTTTTGTGTAGTGTATGTGGTATAATGCCTGTACAAGAAAGTACAGTATTACAGAAAATCTAGAAATCAATTTTTAGTACTTTAACATTTTTGTTGTAAACAAAGATTTAAACTTAGTCATTATATTTAAATCAACTTACATTAAAATATTAAATATTTCAATTTCATTTTATGAAATGATTGAAAAGGTAGTGAACATTTATTTATTTATATAAATAAAAGAAATCAATGCAATTTAATATGTGAATTAACAATTTTCCTTACGATTTCTGCCTAGGTATATTAATTTATAAACAGTATATTTATGCTCTTTTTAAACTGCAGTTAAATAATAATCAAACATTGACAAAAACCTTTAAAATGCAGCTTTTTATTAACTAATCAAATGCTTTTGGCCATTTGAATGAACTTCATCAGAAATAAAAATTGAATGATTTTGATTTTTATAAAATGAAGTTTGTTATGGAACAATTTTGAATGTTTGAATTTTCATTAGCTGTCTAGTGTGCAAGTCCACAAAAATACAATATGTACAGGTTACTTGTACAAATATATATATAAACAATATGTAAATATAAAATAAGAATAAATAACTAAATAAAAATAAAATATAAATAACTAAGACATTAACATGACTGTGCCTAATTCCTTAACCGTTTGTCCCTTTTTATACTAAAGTATTCAGATTATTTCAATGTTTGATTAGTGTATTTATGCAATAATTGCATAATGAACATTTCGTAATTTTTTCTTTACTAAAATTTCTTCAGAAAAAAGTATATTTAATATTAAAAGGCTAATATTTTATGCTGATTTCAATGAATAATAATAAATTTTCTTACTGGGTTTAAATAAAGTTTTGGGTATTTTTAGTTAAATCTTTTCTAATTTCATCCATCATCATCTATATTACAGCTAATAAACTGCTGTTTCATCTGCAAAAATCCTTTGAATTTAGCTTGTGTTTTAGTCAGCCAACAACATTATTATGATACAAAATTACTTTTAATCACTATGATCACTCTCGTGTATTAGTAAAGATACAAAACAAAATTGTAATCAGGACAGAAATTTAAAAGTAACAACATAAATCAAAGCTTCATAAAGCAAAATAAAAATTTTTTTCTATTTCACACTATTAAAAAAAACTTATAAACTTTATATAGACAACACTAAGTAAAACTTCTAAAGAATACTGTCTTTATTTGTTTTATTATAATTATTGATAAAATATAAGGGGCAGTCAAATGAAAACGAGACAGATGGGAAAAAAATAAGTAAACCATTTATTATTTCAAAAGTAATTGCCATGACTGTTAATACATTTATCCCACTGTGAGACAAGATGGTCAATGCCTTCATGGAATAATGCTTGCTATTGCCTACGGAACCATGATTGTACCCAGGCGTGCATCTCTTCGTCTGAAGCAAATCGACAACCACGAATGTCTGTCTTCGGGGCTCCAAAAATATGGAAATTGATGGGGAGAGATCGGGACTGTTTGGAGGATGAAACTTCTGTGTGAAGTCGAAGTCACTTCCCAGTGAAACTTCTGCAGTGAAGTCGAAACAACCTTGGCAACATTTAGGCAGGCATTATCTTGCAATGGAATGATGCCGTCTGTGGGCATTTGGACTTGATGGCGTGCTTCAAGTTTTGCTGGGAAGCATTTACACATCCTCCATACAGTTCCAATCTCTAACCATGCGATTTCCATATTTTTGGAGCCCCAAAGACAGACATTCGTGGTTGTCGATTTGCTTTAGACAAAGAGATGCACGCCTGGGTACAATCATGGTTCCGTAGGCAACAGCAAGCATTATTCCATGAAGGCATTGACCACCTTGTCTCACAGTGGGATAAATGTATTAACAGTCATGGCAATTACTTTTGAAATAATAAACTGTTTACTTACTTTTTTTTTCCCCATCTGTCTCGTTTTCATTTGACTGCCCCTTATATATTCATTTTTTTTTATATATATTTTATTCTGAGACTATTCAATAAAAGTTACATATAGTGCTATAGTTGTCTACACACTTTACAATTTTTTCCCCAGCACTTAAAATTAGAAACGTAACCAAACAATTGTCTTAAATAATCAGACTATAGCTCTGTTAATTTAATGATTAATACTAAGTAATGAGGTCGTGGTTTCAAACCCTGCCCCGGGTCAGTTCTTTATTTCCAGATGGTTCTAAATTATTTAATAAATTATTAAAATTATTATTATTAATTTAGTTAAGAGATGGTACCTAATGTCTACCTCTAGTAGTAAATTACTTAGTATTAATCATTAAATTAGCAAAGTTACAGCCTGATTATTTAAGATGATCATTTGGTTAGGTTTCTATATACATAAGGGCTTTGCAATCTTTGATATACTTAAAATTAGCATAACAAAGGGGGATATAAACAATTTTATATAAAAAAAGCCGACAGAAGCTTTTGACCAATTTTCCTGGCACTTGAACAGGAGGATAAGGGGACCATTAGAAAGTCCGACGATTTTCCATAATATTAGGATATACAACTTAAATAATAAAAGCTTAAAAGCAGTTGTGGAAGTATGCCATATAGTCTGATTTTGTCTTTTTGTTCTTCATACATTTTTTCCCTGCTCTTTGTTCTTTTCCCCTTTTAGAACATTCTAATCTCCATAATTCTTCCTTCTTGGATGTGAGGACCACTTTCTAGAATAACCAGTACAATGAGTACAAAGTTACCTGAGGGCATATGTGGGGAAGAAGGGTCACTTTTGAGCTAGTGCTCGATGATGAAAAAATGGATGCGATATTGTCTTGTACCTGGGTAGATGGATAAAGTCAACTTCTAGTGGTAATTCTTGAAATTCCTGGGTCAAAGTTAGTGTGTTGGAGTCAGCATTTGACCAGTTGCGCATTTTGAATGAGTGACAGACAATTTGGATATAACTAAAAACACTCAGAAACCAAGGAGAAGACAAGAAAAGTGCAAGTTTTGTGCAAGAAGTTCCATGTGGCCCCTCACAACAACAAGAACTAAATTTTTCATTTCAAATCTTTTTCTCATTATAATAATTAATTTGATTTTTCTGAATGTAATTAATTTATACTGAGAACTTTCAGAATATTAAATATTAAAAATAAATAAGTAAATAAATAAAAATGAACAAAATAAATAATAAAGTAAGAAAATAAATGAACTAAACAAAATAACAAAAAAAGTTTAAAAGTTCAGTAAACTCACCGTGACTTTTTAGTTTTGTTTTTGGCAGAAATCCGTAATTCCTTTAAAATTTCATACCTCAATTTCCTGCTAATAGGCAAGTGTTTTCAGTCATAAATCAATCAAAATTTAATTACATTATAAACTATTAATTTTTGTTTGGTTAAAAAGTAGTTTTAAACATTTTATATGAGTGAATGAAGTTTTAATTAAGAACAGCAATGATTTTTACAATAAAAAATTATTTTACAACTTTGAATGCAACATTTACATTTAGCCCTTTAAGTCTGCAAATAAAACATTTACTGAATCATAAAAACCTACTTTAAATAAGTTTTAAAATTATTAATCTATGCTACAGTTATAAAAATTCAAATTAATATTTTAATATATTGGCATAAAATAAACTAAATAAAATGGATAAGCATTATTATGCAAGTGTTGGAAATTTAAAATTTGTAGTAATTCAAATGGCTTATTTTTTATTTGAGTAAAACCAAACCATTTAAAATATTTATCAATTTTGTGAATAAACAATGCTTAGAATTATGATTTAATAACAATACCAAAATACAAGTTTACCTATTAGTGCAAGTTGTAAAGTTTCACTTCAAAACACTTCAAAAAATTAAAATATTTTAGAGCTTAGATAATTGATTTTCAATTTCTCATACCCTAATTACAGCATAAAATTACATAGCATAATTACATTATTTTAATTTAGACAAATCCATTTTCATTGATAGCATTGTGGAATGTCCAGAGATAACGACTTTATGTAAACAGCATTTCTGATCAGAATGTCATTATATTTCACTTTTTGAAATGTGGGTAAAGAAGAAACACGCGCTCCAATTCACTGAAATGAATTTGTATGAGTTGTTTCGTAAGTCTTTGTTAGACAACTGTCCTCACATATGTATTGGATATATTTCAAACTTGTAATGGTGAATGCAGAAAGTCTCTTTAAAAGTAACAAATTTAATTTCATATAAGCTTATCTAGTTACTCTTATACTTACATAGATGTTATAATGTTATCAATCATCAGGAATTTCTGTAAGCTTTGGTACCATTTTGTATATTTCAAGAAAAAAATACAGCTATTCAAGGAAACCAAAATTTGAATAAAAATATTTTTGGAACTTTATTCAGACTAACTTCAGATCAGAATATTGCTCATAACAAATTTAGGATACATGTAATAATCTACTTTTTACTAGAAACTGACAAGAGTTAAAAATTTGACAATCTGATGACATTCTACAGTTTTATTTTAAGAGAAAGAAAAATGTAAAAACTTATTTTAAATAAAAATCAACACCTTTAAACAATCCAGCAAATCGTTTTTTAATATCTTAAAAACGCTTTCAAATGCTTTAAGCGATCATCATCAGTTATCTCTGTGAATCGAACGAAGAAAATCATAGGGATGCTGATGGATTGTCGTCGGCATGGAAATTCTTCTACGATGTGTGACGTAGTTTATTTAAGTGGGAAGATTATTTAAGATAATTTTTATTGGATGTATATAATGTATTTGATTTCTTTATTTTGTTTTAACTTGTATAATTCTTACAATTATTTAAGCTTGGTAAATATTAACGTAAATTTATGTAACCACTTTTTGAAATTTTTGTTTTACGTAATTTCGAATTTCTTCGTTCGATTCACAGAGATAACTGATGATGATCGCTTAAAGCGTTCGAAAGCATTTTTAAGATATTAAAAAACGATTTGCTGGATTGTTTAAGGGTGTTGATTTTTATTTATTGTGTGGTTCCAGTAAGAAAGTATTTTATTTACTTATTTTAAAGCCCAACAATTGCTGCATTTTATAGAGCTAAATTATACAACTATATATATTAGTAGTAGTAATATAGCCTGATATAATTCAGCAGTTGTTTGGCTTTAATATATAACTATTGGGTTTGAATGTTTATATTCGTACAATAGAATCTCGAAAACTCGGCACTCGATAACCCGGCCACACCCTGGCAGGACAAAAAAAATCCTTAGTTAATTAATTTTCATTATAGACAGCTTTATGCCTCAAAGTATTTTTCTGAGGTCTGTCTTATCAGGTAAATTACTGTACACAGTGTATTCATTAATTTTCATTTTCATGTAGTAAAGGCTCTATGCCTTCATAAAGGANGGAATTGGAAGAAGACAGAGTCAACAAGGTCGTGATAAACCTAAAAAGATAATTACCATTTCAAGTTCTTTCAATCAAGATGTCAAATTACACGAATGGTTAAATGCCATGGATTCGGAATATAAGTCTTTAATGGAAAATAATACATGGGAATTAGTACCACGCCCAAAGGACAGAAAAATAATTTCAAATAAATGGGTGAAAAAAAAAAAAAAAAATTATCAAATGATAAGTTTCAGTGTATACGCAGACTCCGGGCACACCGATAGAGAGGGTGTTAGAAAGTTGTGTATCTGACCTTTGTCTTTGTGATCGTCGCACCCTCCCCTCTGCTATGTGTGGGGTCTGTTATGTTCGTCAAGGGAGTTGTACTCTGGCCCAGGTTAGTTTAGTTTGGAATGTGTGCTGTGGTCTAACGGACATCGCTTTCTAGTTCTCTCCACTTTCTTTGTGTTACCTTCGACATTACCCTCCATTATATCCAAACCCTGACAATTTTTAACTATTATAAAATGCCAAAAAGCTTAATTTTGAGGGTAGGGATGGTTTTATAAGCTGTAAATGCTAATAATGAGTAAAATCGTCATTAACTCTGACCATATTGGAGATTACAACCACCTTTATTTCCCCACCCACTCAACCTTTAACCACCTAAATTTAGTAGCATCAATTCCCCTAATAAACAAACCTACTTGCAAAATTTCAAAATTTTTGACAAAAAGCACAGGAATTAATCTTCAAAGAGGGTGGACAAAACCGTGCCCCCACAGAGAAAACTCCCTAAATTTTTTGCATTTCTTGACATTTCAAGGTGTCCGGAGTTCAAAAATGTAAAAATCTTTGGGGGTCATTTTTTGACCAATGGCCATAGTTTTCCTCTGTTATATATAATAGCCAGGAGCATAATAAACAAATAAATAACTGCATCACATCACAATTCCACTATTATTACTGAATACTGTTGTATTAATAGGCATTTATGAGGTATCTAGTTATATTGGTGCTGGACAAATATAACACTTGTTTTGTGACATGATTATTTGAATTATTAAAGCTTTAGTTCCTTTGTAAGTGTACTTTCTGTTTAATTACTCTACAGTAAGTCAACTTAAATGATTTTGTCAAACAACATTGATTTCACTTCTATAATTTCATAACTGAATTTTTAACTTGTAACCATTAACACTTTGTAATTGCGTAATCCCAAAAAATTTAGTTACCTTCATTAAAATAAAGATAATATTTGGATTCAGAAACTTCACTTTCATATTACAAGGACTGAAGTTATTCACTGGATTCACATATCAGTAACTTAGACTAATAGCGTCACTTTTATTACATTAGTTTTATTTAAATGTACTTATTTTCTCTCTCTCTACATAAATAATCATTTATCTGCAAAAAATATCATTTTGTAGATTACAAACACTTTCATCTACAATACAAATTAAGCTTAAAATATAAAATAATATAAAATAATGATAAAAATTTTAGATATCACTGATGGTTTAAATACTTTATCTGAAAATTTTTTATCAGATCAAATATATTTTATCTTACAAGTTATATAAGGATTAAAATGATGACGATGTGTTATGAAATGTCAATTTCAATACTTTGCAATAACTTTTTCCAAACTCATACTAATTAATATTTTGAGAAAATCAATAACAATTTCAAAAACTTAATACAGTACAATAAATTGTCAAACATTTTTGAAACTTTTTACCATCTTACTCACATTAGAAAAATTTTATAATGGATACAATACATTCCATTATATATAGATTAACTATTGTAAAAAGACAAAAGCTATGAGAAAAACTTTATTTATTTCTTAGTAATTCGACATTGTACAACTAAATTTTTTTATTTAATACAGCACACAGTCCAAAGAATTATAATAGTGACTTAGAACTGACAGCCACAAGCTTCATGTAATTAAGGCATAATTTTTGAGAGAAGAGCAAGTGTAAAAATAAAATCCCATCAACATTGGCCTGGTATATGCTAAAATATTGTTTTTTGTGAGAACAAAATCCAATCCAAAAGAAATCACAAAATATGTTAATATCTGGTGTAATTTTATACTGTTTCTGTCAGAAGTTACTGATAGCATGAATAATATTAATTGTTCATGGGATAAAATTTAATTGTATTAGTAGAATACCTGCTTTCGAGAGGAGAGAGGGAGAATGAATATGTTATATCTAATGATCACTGCTTTTAATCCAACAGATACAAAAATAAATCAGGATATACGACACACAGATTAAAGGAGAAATTGTAGTGGAAAGAGGATTGGATAATGGTCTTTGTTCTAACATAGGTCTCCCTAGTGAACAAAACTGGTTCTTAACATAAACCACGACAGTTTATTTTACTAGATGTTATAATATTAATTATCAAAAATATCATTAATAAATCACATTTTGGCAATATTTATTTCCTGAAAGGTAATTTCATTATAAGTATCTTTGTCTTTACCATATATATAGTATAATAATCTGTGAGGTTGCTAACAATTGCTTTTTGTTAAATATCATAGTTGAAGCCAGTGATTCTCAAACAGAACATTTCAAGAGATATCTAAGCATACCATGAATATAATGAAAGTATTTTAAAAATTGTATGAGTGAGTTTCTTCTCAAGATTAATTATATCCATGATCAACTAATAGCTAGGCTAAACCCATAAAGTAGTAGCTATTATTGTAAACAGCAATTCCTAATTTAATACAGCATCATAGGAATCCAAATTGAGTGTGACCAAATCAACAATTTAAATAATAAAGTTTACTTATTAAGCCCATAATGTCATACAGATTATGGTTACTATTTCCCACATCACAGAAGGTGAGAGTTACAACTGTCATAGATAACTCAAAACAAATCTGTCCATTTTTTTGTTCTTGATAGTAAATAAATCCATCCTTTCTTGATAACTGAGTTTTTGTCACAGCCTATCATCATTTTTTTGAGACACTAATTTCAATCCCAGAACTCCCCTTATCCTTTTCA